AAAGGAGCATATGTCTATAGGACTTTTTTTCTTAGTTTTTTACTCCTCTACACGCTCCCGAAGTTTTGCCATTTAATTTGGAAACACCCTGTATATAAACAAATACACATTTTTAAATGGTACTCCACATAATATTTCTAAATTAAACTAATTAATTAATGACCAAATTTTATAAAAAAGCATACAAATCTGTATTACGTAAAATGTCTATTTCTTATCTACGGAGATTCGAAGTAACACAACATCCCCAAAATAGTATACATGTGTGCGCGCACGCGCATGCGAGTATTTCACTTAATTTTTACATTACTTATTTTCAAAATATCTAATAATAACTATATATATATATATACTTATAATTTTTTATATAAATATTGTACGTTTTCTAAATTCCTTTCTTTCACTTATTTATCTGGTGTGAGAAACACAATGTCTTTAACGAAATAATAATAAACGACAGTGCAATCGAATCGTTTGATTAATCAATGTCGAATCAACCGATCCAGGTCTTCTTAATGAAATCTGCCGCTCTTTCACCTGCAACATGTACATATACAGTTATAAAGAGAAAAAGAGAAAGATTAAAAGATTTACATACCGATCATAATCGCTGGCGCATTCGTATTGCCGGATGTAACCCTTGGCATGATACTTGTGTCGGCCACTCTTACACCTCGCACTCCTCTGACTCGCAATTGATTGTCAACTACGGCCATTGGATCGTCTGGCGGTCCCATTTTGCAAGATCCCGCCTGATGATTCTCGGGTGCAGTGTCATGACGAATTGCGCATTCCCAGTAAGCGTCGCAGCCGAACTTGAGGTGCTCGCAATTCTTCACGGGAGTTCGGTCCAGCTCGAAACCGTACCTATAATATAATTTCCGTATAATCCGCGAAAATAAATCAAGATATTTTTACAACCTGAGACTAATCTAAAATTTTTAAGTCATTTTTGTTTATAATAAAAGTGATCTATGATATAAAAAACTAGTGATCTGTGTTAAAATAAAGAAATAAGAAAAATTTTTTTGAAAAAGTGTTACAAAAAATACAAATTAAAGTATAGCATTTGATTGAGTTCATTTTAGGCGATCTATAATTTGCGTCAAAGTTTAGAATCTAATTCCATTTATATTTTTATGTACTTTATAACACATAATATTTGAAGAATTAAAATGCACAGATATGTAAAACATATATTTTAAATATACTTTTTAAATTACTTTATACCTATTTTAAAATATACACATGTAGTTCAAGATTTACACATACAAGATATAAAATTATAAACAGAATTCTATACTAAAATCTAAAATGCAAGTAATAAACCGTTTATGGATTTAAGAGATTATTTAGGAAATGTAGAAACAATAGGAAAAAACAGGAAGATATATTTGGTCTCTTCTATCTGGAATTCTCATTTTTTCAAAAGAATGCAACGTTTGCTTTTACTTACATTCACGAAAAAATTGCTAAGAAATGAAAGTTAATACCTTTTGAGAGCCTGGGCCTCCGTTAATCGGATACTGAACTTAACAGCTTCCACGAGAGCTGCCGAGTCGTCGGGATGAGTCAAGTATTTGGGGTAGATCAGCGGCTTCGAGAGAGGATCGTTGTTTCGTAAGCGTAGATAACCGCGACTTTTCGGATGCAGAATAGTCGGGATGACGTAGATGCTGCGGTTCGCACCCTTCCTTTCGCCGACCATACCAGTCTCCGCGCAATCAGCCAGATAACCGCCGAAGATTAGCTGCACGTCGGGATGATCTTCTCTTGGATCCGCGTACTTAGTGTTTATCATTGCTGTTACCTCGGATATTCCTACATTAATATAATGCTAAATGAATTTTGTTCTGTTCTGTTTTCAAAAAAAATTTAATAACAACATTATTAATTTATTATACAAATAATAATTGTAATAAAATGATTTTAGAAAAAAAGATTGGCTGCTGCAGCCAATTAAAAATACTATGCCATATTTTACCATCTAA